TCCTGAGGGGAGCGCCCGGATGGCACCTGGTGTGGTCCGTGGTGTGTCATGGTTCCCTCAGCTGCTGCTGAGGCCGGACACAGCTCATTGCGTTCCCTCAGCTGCTGCTGAGGCCGGACACAGCTCATTGCGTTCCCTCAGCTGCTGCTGAGGCCGGACACAGCTCATTGCATTCCCTCAGAGCGGTGCTGAGGCTGGGCACAACTCATGGCGTGCACAACCTGTTGCTCAGCCCAGACTTCACCTTCAGTTTCCTCCACAGGCCGACATCACATCTTGCACCCTCCCTGCATGTGCCGCAGCTTGACACAGAAATGCCGGGGGCTGATAAAGATCTCTGTGTGAGCCGGGGCAGGTGCTGGCTCAGCAGCTCTTCCACAACTTCTGCTGAGCACTGACACACTTCATTGTAGGGTGTCAGCGTGGGCATGAGGGGTGTGAGCCCTTGGCAGGTCTCCGGGGGGTGGAATCTGGGCCTATGGCAAACACAGATGGGGCAGGGACATTGGCGAGGGCAGCGGGAGCTTTGCCTGGCGTTTGTGGTTGGCAGAAGCAAGGTGGAAAGGGGGTTGCAACTGTTCCTGTCTCTTTCCTCTGGTGTCCATTGCCGTTGTTTTATGGATTAGTTTCTTAAATAGCTCCCTAGGTGTCTGTTCGTGGCTGCACAGGAAGATGTTTTAAATCCCAACAAACAGGAACAAGTGCCTGCCTGGAGCTGCGTGGCTGCCAGATTGGCATGGTGATGAGGAGGAACCTTGTGTTTGACTTGGTGCACCAGAGAGAGATAGTCTCCAGTAACATCAGAACCCAAACTTTCTAGGGCTGGATCCACTGCCGGTAACTCACGGTGTGCTGGAGAGAAGCAGGAGCCACCCTGTTGCCATCTGCTGCTGCCCATCAAGGTCCAGGTGTCCTTCTCACTGCACATCACTGAAGGTCTTCATCATCATGGGACTTACCTCTTCACTGGGATCCCCAAGCCCTGTTGGAAAGAGCCAGCAAACTCCCCCAGCAGCACTGCCTTGAGCTCCAGCCTTGTGTCCTCTGCAGGTTAGCAAAGAAACGTGCTGGAAAGAAAATCCTTGGTTTCAGCATGGAAAGGCTGGAAAGAAGGACTGTGGTGGCAAGGAGGGGTGGGAAGGAGACTGAGATCTTCTGTGGTGTGAGAGGGCCCAGAAATGGCCAGTGTGTTGCATAGGTGTACATCACAGTGATGTGTAGCCCTTTGTGCTGGATTTTTTATGGCTGCATGTACAATAGGAGCCTAAATTGGGATCTTTTCCAATACGTGGAGCTCCCCCAAGTTTGTTGTTTTTTTTTCAGCAGAGCTTTCAACCTCTTGATAGTAAACTGAAGTCTCCTGGTGGTGGGTTTGTTTTTCTTGGTCACCTTTTGCAGACCTCTGGCCCACCGGGGTGAAACTGGGGAGGACTGAACCACTGCTGGGGTAGAATTAAGTTCATCCCCGGTGGCTTTGTGAGTTGTAGCCACGTTGTTTGCTCAGTTGTGCTCTCTAGGAACCTCACCCCTTGCTCCTGGCACACTACCCAGCGGAAATGGACGATGGGAGGTTTTTGGAAAGCCTTGAGCACCCTGTGGGACGGCGAGAGGATTGTTTGAACTTTCTGCTTTCACATCAGCAACCTTTGTCCGTGCTGCGACAGAAACAGCACGAGCTGAAACAGCACATAACTCCACTGAAACCGAGTCTCTTTTAGCATTTCAGCTTGCACGGGTGCTGTTTGCAGAGGGATTCTTTCTTATCCGTGCCTGGGAGGTGTTTTCCAAGTTTGCCGAGGAGATCAAAACATTCCTAGATTGCTGCTTAGAAGTTTCTGTTGTTGCAGACAAGGTCGTGGTGTTCAGCTCAGTGTGTCTGAGTTCATTTCAGGGCTGCTTTCAAGGTATTTTGGAGGTGGGTAGCTGTGTCTCTCTCCTAATATCCAGGTGCATGCCTTGTCCTAGGTCCTCAGCTCTTCTGGCAGCAGTTTCCGTGCTGCTTTAGGTGCTTCTGCGTAACACTTAAGTAATTGTTTTACAAACAAACATTGCTGTGATGCCCACTTCGTGTAATTTCTCTAGACAAAACATTGTTTCACTAAAGCAACAGGAATGTACCCTTGTTTTCCCCATCAACAGGTAAAATAACCCTTCAGGCGCTGATTTTGCTGAAATTTGCTCATCCTTCAGCACTCCCAGCAATCAACTAACACCTCACTTTTCCTGAACACAAAATTTAATTAAGACTGTGGTCAGCTCATGCTAATTGCTTTATCCTCCCGTATCTTTTTGCACATAAGACCTTTTGCCTTAAATATATTTTCTGTTCATACCTGCCTGAATTACAAGAGGGCTGTTTGATGGCAGGATTTTCTCTCTCTTTCATTTGGTGACCAAGTTACCTTCATACCCTTATTTTAAAAACCTTTTTCCTTACTGATTTAAGCCATCAGAGCTCAGCTGGGACATGATCAGTTGGGCTTCTGCAATCTGCTGGTCAAATGGCTGCTTAGAGTTTTAAGGCAAAGGTCCTGAAATCCATGGTACCTGTATTTGTAGGTGGAAATTGTCATCTGAGATGAAATTGTGCCTACAGGCTCCATCCTTACTGGTCTGTGTACTGGCACCTGCAGCTTATTTCTGTGGATGCAGAGGGGAGTTTGGAAGCTTTTCCCAAAGCCTGTTGGTTTCTTAGGACACACGTTGTGTCGTGGCTTAATCCCGTCGTTCAGAGAGCCAGGCTTTTCAAGAAAAACGTGTTGCTCTTGGAAGTTGTTACTTCTTTTTTGGAATAAGCTCTGGACTTGTAGGTCCTGGTTCTGCGGCCTGCTGCTTGCTCTGACACACACAGTTGAGTTTGTGGACCTGTGTCAGAGCAGAAATAATGCAGCAGCTGAGTACAGATTATAGGTTTGCAGTGTGTTTTCTTGTCTGCAGGTCCCACAGAAAGGGGCTGACAGTGTGTATTGCTCTAAATAAGGGTGAGGTGCTGGTTTCAGGCCCCTGTGTAGCAACAAGATAAGCTCTGGGTTGACTTATCTGCTCGGGAAGATTTCACATTTGCTTTTCTTTGTCTCCTCTTCAACTTGTTTCTGTTTCAGCCCTTTTATTCCCATAGCTCATGTTCCCATCCCTGATGCTGCCCTTCTCACGGGCATTACTCACTTGGCTTCGTCTCCTCTCCCCCTTTTCTCTGCCTCCCTCCTCTGATGGCCAGGGTCCTGCCCTGCCTCTCCATCCTCCTCCAGCTCACCTCATCAGCTCCAGGCTTCTGCTCCACTCCCCCGTGACAGGCACCTCCTTTCTGTCAGGAACTGACTCTCGAATAATTATCTGGGTTGCTGATTAGCAGTTTGTGAGGGCACAGACTGGGCTTTTAGTTAAGGCTTTGAGCAAATACCATTGCACAGTTCCTGGTGCAGTCCAGAAGCTGTTCCTGCTGCTTTGCTGCTCGGACCCCTTTGGACCCTCCATGCAGAACCAGCTCAGCTGCCTGAACACGGATTGTGGCTCCAGAGGGGCTAACTTTGAGCCAGAACTAGTAAGTCCATCTGGTTCCATGCTGCTTGTTCCCCTTCACTTCCTTATGGATCCCACCAAGGAGCAGAAGGGATGCACACCCTGCACCTGTTAGGTTGCTCAGTTCATCCTCTGGTTTGGGCTTTTGTGACCCATTTTGCATGTTGGGAAAGACACAGTCTGTTAAGTGAAGACTGCAGAGTGGTGCAAGGAACAGAAGGGAGAGTAAAGCTGGAGGATGATTTTTCCTTACAGGACTTTTTGCATCTGCAATGGAGGAGCACTGCTAGTTTTCTCATCTGGAGCTCAGTGACAAAAAGAAATTGGGACTGCTTTCACAGGGCAGGAACAGGGCTTTCCTTTCCATCTGGAAGACATTTTGTGTGCTGTTGGGGGCATAAAAGAAAAGTCACAGGCAAAACAACAGAGACCTCCTTGGCTTGTGTGAACGGAGCAGGCAGATGGGATAAGTGCTGCTTTTGAGTTTTGGGGGATCTGAATGGTTTGCTGAGCTGGATGCACAACAAACTGGGTGGATGCTATACTGGAAAATATATTCCAGCTCTTCCCTGGTGGTGTGGGGGTGTTTATATTCCAGTACCTGAAGGGGCTCCAGGAAAGATGGGGAGGGCTTTTCACCAGAGAAGACAGTGATAGGACAAGGGATAATGGTTTTAAACTGAAAGAAGGGAGGTTTAGGTCAGGTATTTGGAAGAAATTCTTCACCATGAGGGCAGCAAGGTCCTTGAATAGGTTGCCCAGGGAGGTTGTGGAAGCCCCATCCCTGGAGGTTGATGAGGCTTGTGCAGCCTGGTCTGGTGAGAGGTGTCCCTGCTCATAGCAGGGAGGTTGGAACCTGATGATGTTTAAGGTCCCTTCCAACCTTAACCCTTCTGTGGTTCTAGATGTCTCCTGGCATGGGAACAGAGCAGGTTGGAGGGTGCTGTGGGATGCAGTGCAAGAAATGGTTGGTCTATCCATACCTGCTTGTGTATAAGAAAGTGAAGAGGCCTCAGTCAATGGTGGAGTCTCCAGTAGGAATGTTGCTGCCCTGCAGCGCTGTTCCTGAGCTCCTTGCTTGTCTCCTGGCCTTACCCTGCCCTCTCTCCTGGTTTGCTACAGGCTCCCTGGAGCACAGCCATGAGGAAGCCTCGGAGGAGGCCATCCTCTGGTTTGGGCTTTTGTGACCCATTTTGCATGTTGGGAAAGACACAGTCTGTTAAGTGAAGACTGCAGAGTGGTGCAAGGAACAGAAGGGAGAGTAAAGCTGGAGGATGATTTTTCCTTACAGGACTTTTTGCATCTGCAATGGAGGAGCACTGCTAGTTTTCTCATCTGGAGCTCAGTGACAAAAAGAAATTGGGACTGCTTTCACAGGGCAGGAACAGGGCTTTCCTTTCCATCTGGAAGACATTTTGTGTGCTGTTGGGGGCATAAAAGAAAAGTCACAGGCAAAACAACAGAGACCTCCTTGGCTTGTGTGAACGGAGCAGGCAGATGGGATAAGTGCTGCTTTTGAGTTTTGGGGGATCTGAATGGTTTGCTGAGCTGGATGCACAACAAACTGGGTGGATGCTATACTGGAAAATATATTCCAGCTCTTCCCTGGTGGTGTGGGGGTGTTTATATTCCAGTACCTGAAGGGGCTCCAGGAAAGATGGGGAGGGCTTTTCACCAGAGAAGACAGTGATAGGACAAGGGATAATGGTTTTAAACTGAAAGAAGGGAGGTTTAGGTCAGGTATTTGGAAGAAATTCTTCACCATGAGGGCAGCAAGGTCCTTGAATAGGTTGCCCAGGGAGGTTGTGGAAGCCCCATCCCTGGAGGTTGATGAGGCTTGTGCAGCCTGGTCTGGTGAGAGGTGTCCCTGCTCATAGCAGGGAGGTTGGAACCTGATGATGTTTAAGGTCCCTTCCAACCTTAACCCTTCTGTGGTTCTAGATGTCTCCTGGCATGGGAACAGAGCAGGTTGGAGGGTGCTGTGGGATGCAGTGCAAGAAATGGTTGGTCTATCCATACCTGCTTGTGTATAAGAAAGTGAAGAGGCCTCAGTCAATGGTGGAGTCTCCAGTAGGAATGTTGCTGCCCTGCAGCGCTGTTCCTGAGCTCCTTGCTTGTCTCCTGGCCTTACCCTGCCCTCTCTCCTGGTTTGCTACAGGCTCCCTGGAGCACAGCCATGAGGAAGCCTCGGAGGAGGTCCCGGCAGCCCCTGGGAGGGAGACGTTCCCCCTCCCCCTACAGCCTCAAGTGCTCACCCAGCCGGGAGACCCTGACGTACGCGCAGGCCCAGCGGATGGTGGAGGTGGACATCGAGGGGCGGCTGCACCGCATCGGCATCTACGACCCCTTGAAAATCATCACGGAGGACGAGCTGACTGCCCAGGACATCACAGAGTGCAACAGCAACAAGGAGAACAGCGAGCAGCCCCTTTTCCCTTCCAAATCTAAGAAGACGCCTTCCAAAGGCAAGAAGAAGGAGTCCTGCTCCAAACACGTGCCAGGGATATCTTTACATTTACCCCAGCCCAGCTTCCGACTGGTGGACTCCTTCAGCCAGCCAGATGCTCCTCCTCTGCCTGCTGCCTACTACAGGTACATTGAAAAGCCTCCTGAGGACCTTGATGTAGAGGTGGAGTATGACATGGACGAGGAGGACCTGGCGTGGCTGGAGATGGTCAATGAGAAGAGAAGGGACGATGGTTATGGGTCAGTTTCTGCTGACACTTTTGAGCTGCTGGTGGACAGGTTGGAAAAAGAGTCGTACCTCGAGAGCCGGAACAACGGGGCTCAGCAGTCCCTCATTGATGAGGATGCCTTCTGCTGTGTCTGCATGGATGATGAGTGTCACAACAGCAACGTCATCCTCTTCTGTGATATCTGCAATCTGGCCGTGCACCAGGAGTGCTACGGTGTGCCCTACATCCCCGAGGGGCAGTGGCTTTGTCGCTGCTGCCTGCAGTCCCCTTCTCGCCCTGTGGATTGTGTCCTTTGCCCCAACAAAGGAGGAGCCTTCAAGCAGACCAGCGATGGCCGCTGGGCTCACGTGGTTTGTGCCATCTGGATCCCAGAGGTCTGCTTTGCAAACACTGTGTTCCTGGAGCCCATCGAAGGGATAAATAACATCCCCCCGGCTCGGTGGAAGCTCACGTGCTATATCTGCAAGCAGAAAGGCATGGGAGCTGCCATCCAATGCCACAAGGTGAACTGTTACACTGCCTTCCATGTCACCTGTGCCCAGCGGGCTGGTCTCTTCATGAAGATTGAACCCATGAGGGAAACCAGCATCAACGGCACGACATTCACCGTGCGCAAGACTGCCTATTGTGAGAGTCATTCCCCGCCTGGGATGGTGAAAAAAGGGTCTCTGGCTCCTAGTGGTGAGAGGCAGGAGGACATTGTGAAGGAGGAGAGAGAGGAGGAAGCCAATTTGGGGCCTCCCAAAGGGTCTCTGAAAAAGAACCAAGTGAAATTGAAGCAGAAGATCAAAAAGGAGCCTAGTGATGTGACCAACGAGCGTTCGTCTGTGCCCATGGTGACAGTTGCGCAAATCCCCTCTTACAGGTGAGTGTTGCAGGTGGATGGGCAGGAGCTGAACAGCTGGGCAAGGTCTGTTCTGAGGGCTTGGTCCTTCTCCTGGACCTTGGAAACACTGAATCTTCAGTCAAGACCTGGCAATATCAGTGTTCAAAGCGTGCTCTCTAGAATCCTCCATGTCCAGTGTCGCTGGCACACTCTGGTTTTCCTGCCTTGCCATACACCTCTCCCAAACTGTAACAGAATCCATGATGGCCTCCAAAAGCCAAGCACCCATCTAGCCTCTGAATTTACACAGATGGATGTGAAGGTGTTTTTAAAATACTTCAAATTGGCAGGCAGGTAGGGGTCATCCTGCTGTTAAATGCTTTTTTAATCTCATTTTATAGGTTCTTAATTCCCTCTTCCATCACAGAGCGTGTCAAACTTGTCAGGGTTGCAGGCAGCTCTGAGTTTGGCTGTGTCTTTTTTTTTCCTCTCTCATGCAGAACTAGGTAGTGCTGAATTTTCGTTTGGTGCCTGAGGGAGTGTGGTGATGTGACACTGGTATTTTAACAGATGAGCTTTAGAAAGCTGCTGATAATGCACCACATTTAATCCAGTGAATGGTTTGGATAGATTGAAATAGGTGCTATATCATTCTTGGGCTCTTGTCACATTATTTTGCCAGGCTGCAGCTCAATAACATTGGACCTAAATGACCCCCAGGAAAGTTCTTGACACTGAAAGTAGTTTTTAAATACTCCCCAACATACACCCCCCCTCATATTTTGAAATACCCACCAACATAAGAAGCACATGGAGCTCCTGGAGAGAGTCCAGAGGACGCCTCAGAGATGATCCAAGAGCTGGAGCAGCTCTGCTCTGGAGACAGGCTGGGAGAGTTGGGGTGTTCAGCCTGAAGAAGAGAAGGCTCCAGGGAGACCTTAGAGCAGCTTCCAGTGCCTGAAGGGGCTCCAGGAAAGCTGGGACTTGGGACGAGGGCAGGGAGGGATGGGATGAGGGGGAATGGATGAAAACTGGAAGAGGGGAGACATTAGGACATTGGACATGAGGAGGAAACTCTTTGCTGTGAGGGTGGTGAGACCCTGGCCTAGGTTGCCCAGAGAAGCTGTGGCTGCCCCATCCCTGGGGGTGTTGAAGGGCAGGTTGGATGGGTCTTGGAGCAGCCTGGTCTGATGGGAGGTGTCCCTGCCCATGCAGGGGGTTGGAAATGGATGATCTTTAAGGTCTTTTCCAACCCAAACCATCCCATGATTCTATGAAGTGGAGCCTCTGAGCTGAATTGGTGGTTCTGTGCTCTGACTGTGCTGGGACAAGTGCTTGGTGAGAACCTCCAGCTGAGCTGCTACTAAAATTGGGATACATTGTGAAAAGTAGATGTGAATGTATTCATGATGGGCTCAATGTCTTCTTGATGGGGACATCCCAGATGGCACCAGATGGGTGGGTCATTCAGAGCATGCGTTGACACAGCACCTCAAAGCTTCGTTGAGAAACCTGAGGCATCACCAGGGTCACGCTGGAGTTGCAGCTGGGTCCATGACACCTCTTTTGCTTCCTTCAGGCTGAACAAAATCTGCAGTGGCCTCTCCTTCCAGAGGAAGAACCAGTTCATGCAGAGGCTCCACAGCTACTGGCTGCTGAAGCGGCAGGCGAGGAACGGGGTGCCCCTGATCCGGCGCCTGCACTCGCACCTCCAGGCTCAGCGGAGCGCTGAGCAGGTACTGCTCCTCAGCTGCACCCCCAGGAGAGGACACACACCTCTCATTCCAGGGGGAGATGTGCTTGACACGTGGCTGGGAAAGGGAGGGAGGGTGAAAGGATCAGAGGGTGACCTCATCGAAGTCTCTTTTGGTCTCCTCTTGGGGTGCTTGTGTCTGAAGAGCTGAGTTAGTGTAGCAGTGGGATGTCCATCCTGCCACTGGAGTTGGTGTTGATGAGACAGCAGGGAAGAGGTTTCTCCCTGACTCAGGAGACCTGGGATTGTGCAAAGGTGTGATGGGTCCTTGATGGACTGATGCTTTAGATGAATCATAAAACCACGTTCCTCAAGAGTGATTAAAGATCCCCTCCTCAAGAAAATGGGTGTTAGCTCCAGAGTCCTGGCCAAATTCCAGTTTGGGTCATTCTTCCTGCAGTTTCCATTTCCGACCCTCCCATGCACATTCATATGGAAGTTTAGACATAACCATCAGCTCTGGACTCTTTTGCTTCCTCCTCTGAGCTGGCCTCCAGACTCACTGCACCTGGATGCTGTTAAACAGGATGGTGTTTGGCACAAGAAGTGGTTGGGGAAGGAATGAAGCAGTCACAGAATCACCTAGGTTGGAAAAGACCTTCAAGATCAAGTCCAACTGTTAACCTAACATAGACAAGTCCTCAACTAAACCATATCCCTCAGTACTATGTCTATATGACTCCTAAATCCCTCCAGGGATGGTGACTCCACCCCTGGGCAGCCTGTTTCAATGCCTGATAACCCTTTTGGTGAATAAATTCTTGTTAACACCCAAGCCCATCAGGAGACATTGTGCACCTTGTGGATGTGTATTTTTACTGAAGTTGGAGGAATTTTTAGGCTTTTGGTTTGCACAAAGACTGCTCTGGGTGACTAATAAACCATTTTTTTCCCACCCATCAGTCTGGAGCTTGGGGAAGTGCAGGATTTCCCTGGTGTGTTAAGTTGGCAGTTTACCATCAGGAAGTTTTTCAATGTCCATCAAGATCTTGTGAAGCAAGTGTCCTCTCTTGGCAGTCCTGTGACAGTGTGTGCACTTCAGCTAGGTCCTCAGAACCATGTGAAAAGCTGCAGATTTAGGAGAGGGAGGATGATGAAGCCACTCCACTGTGTCTTGCAAGGTGTGAGCTCATCTCCCAGCCTTGGTTGTTCCTTTGTGTTTTGGCCAATCTCTTCTTGTTAAATCTCATGATTGGTTCTATTTCTTCTTGGTTCCCAAGAGAATTATTAATAGCTCTTTCCTCCCATCCTTTCCCTTCCCTTTCTGCTGTAACTCTTTGGACTGCCTCTTGGATGCACAGCATCCAAGGAAAAGGGTTTCCAGCCTCTGTAGTGAACTTGGATATAAAAGCAGGGAGGGTTTAAGTGAAAATGCACTGAAGCATGTTCCCAGAGTGTAGCTGCAGTGTGATTTAATCCCAGCATCACTGATAACATATAATCCAGAGATGCTGTGTTTGTGAGACAGCTGAGAGCTGGAGGAAGGAGGGGCTTGTAGCCTGAAAGGAGGCAAGTAGACAGCAGGAAGACTAGGAGAGCAACTCCCAGGGGATGCCTGGAAAGAGGAGGAAAGGCAGGAAACCAGTTGTGTTTTTTTTTCATCTCACCCCACTGTTGTGTCTTGCAGAAGGAGCAGGATGAGAAGACCAGTGCAGTGAAGGAGGAGCTGAAGTACTGGCAGAAACTGCGGCACGACCTGGAGCGAGCGCGGCTGCTGATCGAGCTGATCCGTAAGAGGGAGAAGCTCAAACGGGAGCAGGTGGGTAGACTGGGAGTGAGAGGAAGGACAAGGGGGAATGAATCAAAACTGGAAGAAGAAAGCTTTAGATTGGACATGAGGAGGAAATTCTTTGCTGTGAGGGTGGTGAGACCGTGGAACAGGTTGCCCAGGGAAGCTGTGGCTGCCCCATCCCTGGCAGTGTTGAAGGGCAGGTTGGATGGGGCTTGGAGCAACCTGGGCTGGTGGGAGGTGTCCCTGCCCATGCAGGGGGTTGGATCTAGATGATCTTGAAGACCTAAATCTTCCTCTTCCAGTTTTCATCCATTTCCCCTCATCCCATCCCTCCCTGCCCTTCTCCCAAGTCCCTCCCCAGCTTTCCTGGAGCCCCTTCAGGCATTGGAAGGTGCTCTAAGGTCTCCTGGAGCCTTCTCTTCTCCAGGCTGAACACCCCAACTCTCCCAGCCTGTCTCCAGAGCAGAGCTGCTCCAGCCCTTGGATCATCTCTGAGGCTCCTCTGGACTCTCTCCAGGAGCTCCATGTGCTTCTGCTGGGGGCTTCTGAATTGATTTCTTAATCTTTGGGTTCTTTCCTGTTCTGGGCAAGGAGTGTGGTCTTTATATCAGCCATCATTCATTCTCTTACTGATCCTGTCTGGTTGCTGAGCACCTCAAACACTTTATGCAAACAGACTTGCTTTCCTTTGGTACTGAAGTGGTTGATTTAATGAGGGATTATAAGATCAAAGAAATTTAAAAAGTTAAAGGAGACATAAACACTTCAGTCCTGCTCCAGTCTTCTTTGACTGGATCTTCAGTGTAAGTGATCAAACCAGTGCTACAACTTGTTTGCTTGGAATCAGTGTTGGAGGCTTCATAAAGGGTGTTAGAGGCTGTGTGAGGAATTTGCAAACATTTAAACCACTGTTGTTGTTTGGCTTCTGCCTTGCAGTGTGAGACCTTGTAGCTTCCACTTTGTTGATGCTCTCCAGCCTGATGATGGGTGGTGTTGTTCATGTAAACACCTGCCTACTTTTAACTTCTCTCTGATGTTGCTAATTGGCATCATAATATCTTGAGGCTGAGAGTTGGACAGGATCATGTACCATGAAGAGCTTCTTCCTGTTTTCATTTTTAGTTGTAATTATCTTTTAATTCTGTGAGGTTTGCTCTTGGTTTGGCTTTATGAGATTGGCTAAAGAGGAGTTCTCCATACAGAAGGACTGGGCTGTGCAGTTTCACTCTGCAAAGGGCTGGTTATGGATCTGGATCCAGCCCATGGGGAGCACCAGGTGCTTGCCAGGAGTTTTTCAGCAGTGGATCTACCAGAGCAGTGGTGTGATGACCTGTGGTTTCCACCACTGAGTAGAGCTGGGTTGATGATTCAGGTGAAACCAGAGGGAGCCACCACTCACATATCCTCTCCTTGCTAACTGCTCGTGGCTGTTGTCCCCTTCCCAGGTGAAGGTGCAGCAGGCTGCCATGGAGCTGCAGCTGACCCCTTTCAACGTGCTGCTGCGCACAACGCTGGACCTGCTGCAGGAGAAGGATGCTGCCCAGATCTTTGCAGAGCCTGTCAACCTGAACGAGGCAAGTCTCTTTCCTAGAGGCATCTAACGGGTTGTAGGTGAGGTGTTGCTGTCACCATGTGCTGTCCTACCCCTGGAAGCACAGAGTCACACAGTCCTCAGGGTTGGAAGGGACCTCTGAAGATCATCTAGTCCAACCCCCTGCTAGAGCAGGGTCACCTACAGTAGATCCCATAGGAACATGTCCAGATGGGTTTGGAATGTCTCCAGAGGAGACTCCACAACCTCTCTGGGCAGCTTGTCCCAGGGCTCTGTGTCCCAAACTGCTGATGGACCTAAGAACATCTCAAAGAGGACTCACCATGTGGGTATCCTTCCAAGCCAAAACAAAACAAAACAAAGGGTATATGTTTTCTGGAAGCTTCAGCACATCTCAGTTATGTTTTGCAGAGCCAGGATGTGTCTACCTGGAGTGGGTGACACAGAAGGGACCTGCTGGCTCTGCCCTTTGCTGGTAGAAAGAGCTTTAGGAGTTCTCGTGCTGGACGCGCTCCAGTTTGGCTAGTAAATGGTTTTTGTAATTGTACAGGTTTTATATGTTTAGGTTCCAGATTACCTGGAATTCATTTCCAACCCAATGGATTTTTCCACCATGAGGCGGAAGCTGGAGTCCCACCTCTACCGAACCTTGGAGGAGTTTGAGGAAGACTTTAACCTTATAGTTGCCAACTGCATGAGGTATAATGCTAAAGACACGATTTTCCACCGAGCAGCTGTCCGGCTCAGGGACCTCGGAGGAGCCGTTTTGCGCCATGCCCGGAGGCAGGCTGAGAACATTGGCTTTGACACTGATGTGGGGGTTCACCTGCCCGAGTCACCCAAAACTGAGGACTTTTACCGCTTTTCTTGGGAGGATGGTGAGTTGATTGTTCAGTTTGTGGTTGGGTTGTTTCCGGGCAGATGGTGGGTTTGTTTTCTTCCTTTGCCGCGTGTCGCTTGACCCGCGGGAAGATCGTAGAGATTGTTCAGCATGAAGGAATATTTCTCTCCATCTAAATACCTAAGCATGGATCTCACTCCTTTGGGCCCTCAAAGAGTGGGATTTCTCTCTCTCTGATGAAGACAGGCTGGGGGAATTGGGGTTGTTCAGCCTGGAGAAGAGAAGACTCCAGGGTGACCTCAGAGCACCTTCCAGTGCCTGAAGGGGCCTGTAGGGAGGCTGGGGAAGAGCTGCTCACAAGGACATGTAATGATAGGACAAGGGGTGATGGTTTTAAGCTAGAAAAGGGTAGATTGAGGTTGGACATTAGGGAAAAGTTATTTCATATGAGGGTGGTGGATCAGTGGAACAGGTTGCCTGGAGAGGTGGTGGAAGCTCCATCCCTGGAGACATTCAAGGTCAGGCTGGATGGGGCTCTGAGCAATGTGGTCTAGTTGGAGATGTCCCTGCTTATTGTAGGGGGGCTGGACTAGATGAGCTTTAGAGGTCCCTTCCAACCCAACACAATCTATGATTTCAAGTGAGCCAGGCCCTTGGAGCTGGGTGCAGCTCAGCTCCAGCTCTCCTGGTGCATGTCTGCCCCTGAAGAGCCTTTTAGGGGCCCACACTGATTGATTTGTGCCATGGCTGTAGTAAAGCTTGGTATTTAAGAGAATGGTGCAAAGGTGGATCTAGGACTTTTGGTCTGAGGAAAGCATATTTCATTGTAAATTGGTAGAGAGCAGCAGGGTTAAGTGGAGCACTGAGGTCTGAAAGGGGGTGACATGGGATTATGGTACTGGAACCCAAGCAGTCCTTTCAACCAAGCCTTTCCATTTACAACAAGAGCCCATCCACTCCCACAGCTGGTCCTGAGCTCCAAAAGCACTGGCTGGATAACCTTGCTAACCTCAGTACAGAGCACTGCTGCCACCCAGCAGAGCTCGTGGTGTGATTCCTAAATATTGCAGCCCACTGGGATGCAGACAGACAGTCTGTTGGGAAATTCTTGTTGGTGCAGGACAGCCCAGCCCTCAGCTCTCTGCCCTGCTCTCTTGGATTCCAGCCCACCAGCAGAGCCAGGGGAAGGGCAAACATGTTCTGTTTTGTGCTCTGATTTGTGGTTTCATCTGGCAATGAATTAGGTTTCTGCCCAGGGCTTGGGCTGTGGGTGCAGCCCTGTCACTGTTGCCCTGGGACAGTAACAGGGACTGGAGAGCAGTGCAGGTTAAATCAGCTGCTCTTTACCCAAAGGAGGGAACTCTGAGCTCCAAGGTTAACAATTCCTAAATCCATGAACTGAAATTGTTCAAGCAGTGGGAAGAAGGCAGGGCAGCGAGCCCCAAATGCTTCTCCAGGAAGCCTTGCTCCTTCCCTTCACTGTCACACTCTCTTTTGATGCAGTGGATAACATCCTCCTCCCAGAGAACCGGGCTCACCTCTCCTTGGAGGCCCAGCTGAAGGAGCTGCTGGAGAAGCTGGACATGGTGAGCACCATGAGGTCCAGTGGTGCCCGGACACGGCGCATCCGGCTCCTGAGACGGGAAATCAACTCCATTCGGCAGAAACTGGCCCAGCAGCAGAACAAGACCAATCCCAATGGGGAGCCTGTGTCCCAGGAAGAGGGGCTGGATAAATCATCAAGGGAAGGGGATGAGGAAGAGAATAAAGGTGAGAGGCTGCAGCAGGGTTTTAGCTCCAAGTCTCCTTTCTGTCTCTTTCCCGCATTGTCTGGTGACAGGACAAGGGGCAACGGGCAGAAGCTGGAACACAGGAGGTTCAAGTTAAACATAAGGAAAATGTTCTTTACTGTGAGAGTAGCAGAGCCCTGGGACAGGCCAGAGAGGTTGTGGAGTCTCCTTCTCTGGAGAAACTCCAGATGCATCTGGATGTGTTCCTGTGGGATCTACTGTAGGTGACCCTGCTGTAGCAGGGGGTTGGACTGGATGATCTTCAGTGGTCCCTTCTAACCCCAACGATTCTGTGACTCCTAGTGCATGTCAGCAGTCAAGACCTGCTGTTTCTCCTGTCCATGGCCCTAGTGAAAGATGGGAATGGCTGCTGGTAGTTTTGGGGAATAACTGCCTGAAATGTTCAAGCAGATTCTTTGTTCCTTTAGCAGATGATGCCAAACCCCCTCAGCCTCCCACCCTGGAACCCACAGGACCTGCACCATCCCTCTCAGAGCTGGACTCTCTCCAGGACCCTCCAACCCTGAAACCCATCAGTGAAAGCAAGTCCTTGAATCAGCTGCAGAAGAAGGTGATGCCAGACAGGGACCTCTTTGACAAGAAGGCCCTGCAGCGGGAGAGCCAGGCCTTCCAGCGCCTGCTCAGCGACAACGGCCTCAACGGGCTGGCCTTGCCACCCACAGACACCCCGGCCAGTCCCCCCTTCAGCGGCGTCGGCCGAAGGACATCTGTCCTTTTTAGGAAAGCTAAGAATGGGGTGAAGCTGCAGAGAGGCCTGGACTGTTCCCTGGAGAACGGGGAGGACCATGGGCAGGCTGGGCAGCTTTCACCTTCCCGCCCCCAGGCTCGGAAGCGGCTGCGGAGCGGGACCTGCAGCGAGAGCGACGGGGAGAGGTCGCCCAGGCAGGCAGGACAGAGAGGTAATTCCTTAGGATTTCTCTTCATTCCGGGAACTGCGAGGTTGGGCTGAGGGAGTGGGAATTCCTGAGGTTGAGTAAAGATGCCTGTGTCCAAACTGCTCACCTGAAACTCAGTTGATCCCTGGGGGACACATGGTCCCTGTGACCAGATGTGTTTGGTGAAGCTTCATCTCTGCTACATGTTTCTGAAGTCGTGTAGAGAATCATGGCATAGAATCATGGGGTGGTTTGGGTTGGAAGGGACCTTCAAGACCATCCAGTCCAATCCCCCTGCATGGGCAGGGACACCTGCCAACAGCCCAGGTTGCTCCAAGCCCCATCCAACCTGCCCTTCAACACTGCGGGGGATGGGGCAGCCACAGCTTCACCCTCATGGAAGTGTTTGCTTGGACACTCTTAAGACTGAGAATTTCCTCCTACAGAAGTGATGCATTGGGTTGGAAGTGTGCAGTGGACCAGGGACACAGCACCCATGTAAGAGGAGATGTTTAAACATTCCTTTTAAATCAGTTCTGGGGTTTAAATAAAATTAGGTTCCTTTTCAAATTAGATCTGCAAATGAGAATGAGCAGCTGTGATGAAATTTGGAAAGACTGAAGGCGAAAGGGAACACCTGAGTGACAGGAGTGTGATTGATTTTTAATTCTGTATTAACAGCCACTGTGGGACAGTTCCCATCTGTAAGGCTTGACTTGGCCTAGACCTCAAATGTTATCTTAAAGCTGTTTTGACTGTTGGAAGGTCATGAGCAAATTGAGAGTGTGAGGAAAGTAATTGAAGATGATCCGAGAGCTAGAGCAGCTCTGCTCTGGAGCCAGGCTGGGAGAGTTGGGGTGTTCAGCCTGGAGAAGAGAAGGCTCCAGGGAGACCTTAGAGCAGCTTCCAGTGCCTGAAGGGGCTCCAGGAAAGCTGGGGAGGGACTTGGGACAAGGGCAGGGAGAGAGAGGACAAGGGGG